ATTTTAAAAACAAAAACAGCATAGCACTGCCAAAAAAAAAAAAAAAAAACCAGACCTGAGGATCAATGTAACAAATTAGAAGATGCAGAGACAACAACAAACATACTCAGTCACCTTATCTTTGACAAAGAGATCAAACACATTCACTGAAGGAAATATAGCCTCTTTAATAAGTGGTTTTGGAAAAACTGGCCAAAACACATGCCAAACATTAAAACTAAACCTATATCTTTCACTGTGCAGTAAACTAAAATCAAAATGGATCAAATACATAAATATTAAAACAGAAACTTTAAATCTATGTAAATATTAAAACAGTAGGAAAAAATTATAACCAGTAATCTCTCAGATAAAGGATTAATATCTAGAACATACAAAGAATGGAAAAAATTAGCTCACCCCAATTTAAAGACCCAATCCAAAAATGAGCATCTGAAATGAGTAAACACTTCTCAGATGAAAAAGTACAAACAGCAAATATATATATGAAAAAATGTTTATCATCACTGGTCATCTGAGAGGTGCAAATTATAACAACACTGAGATTCCATCACAATCCAGAAAGAATAGCTGAGATCAAGAAATCAACTAACAAATGCTCATGGGGCTCTAGGAAAAAAGTAGCCCTTCTCCACTGTTGATGGGAGTGCAGACTGATGCAACCACTATGGAAATCAGTATGGAGATTTCTCAAAAAATTAGGATTAGAAGTCCCATTTGACCCAGCTATTCTTCTGCTGGGTATAAAAGCATCATACCACAATAACATGCACACCCAGATTTACAGCAACACAGTTTGTAATAGCTAAATCTTGGAGGCAACCCAAATGCTAATCAACAAATGAATGGTTAAAAAAGATGCTTTTTTTATACAATGGAGTACTACTCAGTCATAAAGACAAATTTGAGGTATTTATAGCTAAATGGGTGCACCTTGAGACTATACTCTTGAAGTGAAATAAATCGGGCACACATGTATAAATATCACTGAAAGGGATAAATGAGAAAGGGAGAAAGGGAAAGTGAGAAACTGAAAGGGTAAAAGAGGACCAAAACGTAAATAGATAATGTGAAATAGGAAGAAATTGTTCAAAAGGAAAGGGAAACTGAGAAGGGAGAGAGGCGGCAGAAAAGAAAATATGAGAAAAGAAGGAAAAATGAAAACAAAGCTTTTGTAAATAAGGAGGGAAGAAAGGGCGGAAGGGAGGAGATGGGGTTGGGAGAAAAAGAGAATCAAGATATACCATGTACAAATTCCCTTTGATGAATGTGATCAGTATATATGTTTTATTGTACCAATAAAATTAACTTAAAATAATCTCCCTTCATCTTCTTATAAGACATAATTCTCATTAATTATTTTCCCAAAGGCCCCACCTCTGAACTCTTATTTTTCAATATCCAAATTTTAGGGAGACACAAACCTAAGTCAATAGTGATGGACATATCTATCTCCTATGTCTTGGGACATGGAGCAAGAGTGAAAATGATTTACATAAGATATTATAAATAAAACATAATAAATCAAGGAAACAAAATATTCAATTAAATAAGATTCATCCTCCTACCTGAAAAACGCTTTCATCACCATATTAATATATCTTTGAAGTTATATTTCTATCAGCAGAGTAAATACCAAAAATAGCTCAATAGTGTTATAGTAGTATATATCTAGATACACTTGTTTATTAGTACAAATGAGTTATACAGAATTGTGGGTTTTATCTTACTGTATTCATAAGTAGATATAACATACTTTGAACATTTCCACTGTATATTATTCCTCTTGTCCTTTCTCTTCTTCCTTATTCTTTACCTATTTTCAACTTTGCTCTTCTACTTTCATCTCATATCTCTCCCTCTCTCACACATTCTTCTTTTAGATCTACCTATGAGAGAGAACATGCTATATTTGTTTCTCTGAGTCTGGTTATATTGTTTAGCATGATGATCACCAGTTCCACATATTTTTTAACAAATGATATTTCATTTTTTATGCTAGAATAGTATACCATTATGTATTTGTACAAAACTTATTATGCATTTCTCTATTTATAGGCACCTAGGCTCTTTCCATAAGTTAGTTATTGTAAACTGTAACACAATAAACTTGGGTATGCAGGTATCTCTATAGTATGTTGGTTTTAATTCTTTCAGGAAAATTCTGAGGAGTGATACAGTTGGAGCAAATGGTAGCTCTATATTTGGTTTATTGAGAAAACTCCATGGTAATTTCTGTAGTGGCTGTACTAATTTACATTCCCATAAACAGTGCATAAGTGTTTCTTTTCCCCTGAATCTCACCATTAAATACATACACATACATGTATTTAATAAGAGCCATCTTGACTGGCATGAGATAGAATCTCAATGTAGTGTTGATTTTAATTTCCCTGATGGCTATAGATATTATATATTCTGTTCATATACTTATTCACTATTTGTACTTCTTCCTTTAGCACCTATTTAAGTTGTCTGCCCAGTTACTGGCCACATTATTTTGGTGCTTTTTTTTTTTTTTTTCAGTTTTTTCTGTATTATGAATATTGATTTTCTGTTGCTTGAGAGTAGCTGGCAAAGGTTTGTTCTCATTTTCTAGGCTGTCTCTTTATTCTGCATTGTTTTTATTGCTGTGAAGAAATTTCATAATATAGTGTAATCCCACTTGTTGACTCTTCATAAAGTTTCCTGTGCTGCCTGACTACTTTGCAGAATTCCTTGCCTATGCCTCTAACTTCTGGTATTTGCCCTATATATTCTTCTAGTAATTTCAAATTTCATTTCAAACACTTAGGGCTTTGATGCAATTTGAATTTAATTTCGAACAACATTAAAGATAAGATCTAGTTTCAATCTTCTACATGTAGAAATTTAGTTTGCACAATACCATTTTTTAAGAAGCTATCTTTTCAGACCCAGTCCCAGCACCCAGAAAGAAGCTCCCCTGCTACCATCCCATGCTCCTAGAGCAAAGAAGGTGAGCCGGTCCCAGCACCCAGAAGGAAGCTCCTCCACCACCATTCCATGTTCCTAGGGCAGAGAATGTGAGCTGGTCCCAGCCCCCAGAAGGAAGCTCCCCCACTGCCATCCCATACACCTAGTGTAGAGAAGATGAGCCGCTTGGGCACCAGAAGCACTCCCTCCCCCGTGGAAATGAAAAGACACATAAACGAGCCTCAGAAACAGACTTCTGGATCACCTACAGCAACCCCAAAGGGAAATGAGATGGAACAATCTGATAATCAACCACCTGGACTCTCTGAACTGCCAACAAAAGAGGATCTGGGAAAAATGAAATCAGAAATAATTACTC